ATTAATATCGTGTGTTATGTAGATAGGGGATGTGTTCATAAGCACGGAATTTAAAAAGATAATGAAATGCTTACCCATTTAATCATTCAGTGAATTAGAACAATAAAGAGGTTTCTACATAGAAAATATATCAAAAGTGCTTTTAAAGCTAGACTAGGTAGGGAATTGAGTAGGAGGGAAAGAAGAAGCGGGGAGTGTTGCTTGTGTCTTTTGGGAGGGTTTTTTCTTTTTGGTGAGAGCCAGTAAGCGAATCATGCAAACAGTCCACTGTTGAGCTCCAAGGATTTGAACTTCCAACTCTGAGACATCCAAGATTTGATTCTAGATCTCCAATATTCTCTGCAAGTTCTGCGGGCCAGACTTTAAGACTCCTTTCCTATTTCAGATGTGGCTAGTCAGGTTAAATAGAACAAATTTCAACAGCAGAGGGACAACTGCAATGATTCAGGTAAGCACAGCACACATTACAGTCTGGGTTTCTACCTAACAACCTCCATCTTCAACCCAGCTATTGAGCTACATCTCTCTTCAGATGGCTCTCATTTTTCCCTTGCCAGTTTTTCACCAGGGCCTTGGTGGAGAACGATGTTATCTTTTTCAGTTTTGCAAAACAGGAATAATGTTTTCTTTCCTGGGTTACTGAGGCAATTGATAGAAATTCTTTAATGCCACACTACTTAGTTTCCAGACTATTGCACTGTTTACCTAAAAATGGTATACACCAAAGCATTAATTGATCCTCTCAGCTGGCATTCACTAGGTTACTGTGGTTGTGTCCATCCACATGCTCTCGTGCTTCTTTTAGACTAACTGCAGCATCTCCTGTTTCAACTTCCCTGTCTTATTTCCTGGACGCAGACTTCCTGTGCCATTCCTTCCCGGAAAGGGAACCTCACAACTCACCTCCTTGCTTTTGCCTACCTAGCTTACATGCACCCTTTCCCAGATGTCTAACCCACAGGGCATTTTGCCTTGACTATTCAGGCACTTCAGGGACATGTACTGAAGAAATAAATGCACAAATACTATCAGAATTCCAAACCCACTTATTTCCATGTTATTCTCCATGAGAAATATGCAGATTTGGCTCAAAGTACAGTTATTCATATGCTTTCCTCTGCTTCAGTTTTTTATTACATTTCCAAGTGCTATCTGAATCTACCTCTGAGGATGGCAAAGAGGTCCTGTACGTTCCTTCATTCACACAGCAATTCTGTCTGTCCTTTGCAGCCCATTTCTCCTTCAACTTGTCCTTCAAATAAAGAGGCCTCACCAACTACAAAATTTTTGTTATCCCTAGCTCATACACTTTGCAGTTCAGATTCCTTCTAAACGCTTACCTCCTTTTTTTCCCCCCAAGTTTCTCAGACCATAGGTAGGTATCTCTCTTTATATCTAGCCATACTACCTGAAAATCCTACTGCCCTCAGCAGTCTCCTTGTCTTTTCCACACATGCCCACCTCACCCCAGCTATGCAAGCAGAGAGGTTCACAAGAAGGAGCCTTTTTCTCTGCCCAGATGAGATGCAGACAGCTGGGTTAAGGTCAGGATACCTTCCACAGCTGCTTATGCTAACCCAGCTGGCTCTGTTGGAAGCAAGTTAGAGAAGCCACATCCTATACCTCCTCCATTGGCTCAGTTGTGTAGAGCCTGGAGGTCTCTCACAAGTCTAGCCACAAGTTTTACATTTTCCATGATACAGCTGAAACATCAGATTTCTCCATCTTCTGTTTGGAAATTTGCCTTTTTCCAAACCTTAGTTGCGAGGACACAATTGGGAAAAAGATGCTTTTACTTAGGTGTGATCATGTCATTGTCTCAAAGTGCTGCTATCTAAATGAAAACCATTAAAATTTAATGAGCCTCCCCAACGGCCCCCACCTTTGAAACTGTATGAAATAACCTTCACAGCTTTTTCTCACTCTGACATGCCAAGGTATTTGATGATACAGCAATTCCTTAACATTGACCAGAATTCATTAGCTGTACCATAGGCAGAACCCCCAATCTGTCACAGCATGATTTCTGGTCAGGAACCAAACAAGTATAAATATGTTTAAGATTCTGATTTGCAGTTCTGCAAAGTATTAAATAGTGCTACAGACAAGGCAGAGCTTGTTCAAGGGGACAGGATGGCTGAAAGTCTTCATAGGAAAAAGTGTCAATGGGTATTTGTCAGCACAATTAGGAAATTATTGATTACACAGCAGATTCAATTGTGCTACAGCAGCTTCAAAGGGAATACATCATACCTCCTACTGCCTGGGATAAGAAAGCACAAAATATATAGCAAACATCAGGTAGTATTAAGTTTTCTGCAGATGGCACTTTTTTCCCCATATCAGCCAAGGATTTATCTGTCCTATTTTATCATTCAAGTAAAACATTGAGGAAAACTGGAAAGTAATGTAACCTACTCCAAAAGGCGGATTCAAAAAAACACTGGCACAGTTGCAACTCCCTATGCCAACAAAATTTCTACACACCAGAAGGCGGGATTCGCCCTGGCAGAGGGCATACAGTATTACTAACACCATCCTCCCCCAGAGATTCTTCTGTGTATAGATACACTGTGTACAGTTGTTTACCATATAGTCTTAAAACTTGAGAGAAAGTAAAAGGTGAATGAACTGCCCTGTTTTAGTAATAGGGACACACACATTTTAGGTTGGGCTGCAATTTATGATGCCTATCCAAGAAAAGGAATGTTGCAGCTAGTGTGTACCACTGCAGTCCTATTCTTCATTGAATTTTCTGCCATCAAAGATCGGACATGTCTATACTTGCAGAAAGCAGCAGGGATAGAAGTCCTTTAAACTATGTTCAAACAGCACAATGTTAAATCTCAATAAGTAAGAGACAAGAGCTAGACAATCTGGACAGATGCTTTTTCAGTTTATTTTTAGGTGACTAAAGTGCTCACTGACATTTCAGAACATGATGTGATGTACTTATATGTATTCTAACCTCCACGCAGCATTCCTGAGATCTATCAGGGTCAAAGCAGCAAAGGAACAAAAATTTAAATGTATTTTTAATCTTCCCTTCATTACGTGAATATGTTATTATCATTTACTGAGAAAATTCGGGATCAAGCATAATGTGTGCCCAATGCATACATGCATTACTTAAGATTTAGACCTCATTTCTGCTATCTGCTATTCACATCAAGTACTTGCTGCAAATAGGGTCCTTTATCCCAAGATAGACAATACCCAATGGGAATAGCATTGAGCAAACAGATTTTTTTAAATTAGCTCAAATATTATTTACTTCCTTCTTGCTGTACTGTATGGAGACTATGAGAGCTGGAGGTCAGAACAGTGCCCCACAGTCATGACTAATTTCTCAATTAGAAAATTCTGCTTAGTCTTTTTCCCCATTTGGGGCAGGGGGTGAGTTGGGAAGGGAGACGGTCTTCTTACGCTGCTGACTTCAAGGCAGGGGCTTTCCCTCATTAAGCTTCTGTACAGTATTATACAGTGTCAGTGGTGGTTACAATCTCAAGACATAATGCTATTACAAATATATTAAGATTACACCAACGTCCTCAGAAAGGCCTACACAAAGTTGGAGTATGTCTGACTATTTTTTAACTCACATATTAAACTTGATGTCAAAAGCCAATAATAATTGTAGATGAACACTACAATTTAACTTCGTAACTGAGGAAAGGAAGAGAAACTAAGCCATTTTGTTTGTTATCACAGCAGCGTCTAAGAAGCAACACAAATACTGGGGACATAAAATTACCTATCTAGATTAATTTGCATCTTTTGCGCAAACCTTCTCTTATAAATCTGTTTTCATTTGTTTTTCCCTGCCAACCTGCAGAGCCACCCACGCCCTCCCAGCACAGAGTGTGTTTATTTTTCCTCCTGTCTCTGGCTCTTGCCCAGAGGAGGGAGGACGCTTTCCAAATGACTTTACTTTCATCCCCCACAGTGGCAAATGCTCTTACAGCTCCTCAGGATCTATTAGCACATATATTCTTGGTGTCTACCAGGACCCTGACCTGTAACACACACAGAATAAAGTAACCCAATCAGGAGAAAACTGTGTCCAATATGAAGTGGGAGACCACTGACAAAACTGACTGAAACATCTGGGGGCAAATGCCGAGTTTTCCTCTTTGGATTCTCCAGTGCTGAGGCTGGTGTTAGGTTCTATATTTCAGTCTTTAGGTTGTATTTGACTGCTTAATATCGGCCACTGATTCTTGTAAAGAAACTTACAACCTGGTTGGGGTTTTTTTTCCCCTACATGTTTTGTCTCATGTGAAACTTCCCATCGCTCTCTCTACCTTATTTATTTCGAGGCAGGTTAATATTTGAGCCAATATTTAAAACAAGATTCAGCTAGCACGCTTTGAAAGCGTACACAAGAAGAACAGGTTTTCTCTCACTAGGATGGCACACTTCTCTCCCCGAAATGCTCTCACCAAGCCGATTTTTTCCCCTACTTTTTCCCCTAATATTGATGCCCAGAAAGTAAAACTATATGCACTAGAACCTATACCAGGGAACACCTACAGTACTTTATTCACCCATGTTATTACTGTTTCACTTTGGAAGCATCTCATCTGTCATACTAAGAGCTTCCTTAGGCAGAGCTCAGCTATCAGCCCCATACAGTTCAGTCAGCTCACCCAAGCCCATGCTGGAGAAGAGACCATTCAGGAGCCTGAACTACCTCTTCCACCTTTACACTAAACCACCGACTGAACTGGAAGCCAGTTCTGAAGGGATTTCATGACGCAAACATGTAGCTGATTGAAATCATGCCTTCATTTCACATGGTCAGCCACCAAATAGATCATGTGGTTCTAATGCCACAGACCAAAGTCAAGGCAATATAGCACATAGGTCATGGTCACGTTTTTTATGGTATACCATTGTTTTAAATCCTGCAAGCTTTAAACTTAAATGAAAAGCTAAAGGAATGCAACATTTTATTTTGAAAATAGTATCTGTATTTAGTTGAGGGAATGTTAAAATACCTTCTCCCCTGGGGTCACAGAGATTCTCCATATGCAGTGTGTGTAGGAAGGATAACCATTCGGAAATCCTGGAGAAGAAAAGTTGCCTGTAGATTCCTGCAGTGTTTCTCCACAGGCTGAAAGAAACAAAATACAGTAAAAATATAAAATTCAATGTGTCTGACAGAAAAATGCATCTTTCCAATATCTACTGAGAATACATTTAACTCACTGCGGATGCAAACTGGAAAATAGACTAGTTATTTTACAATTTATTCAAAACAATGATTTTAAGACAGTCTGACATTCATTCCATTTTACACAGGATGGTTTTATTCCATGAACTATTTAACTTGTGTGCTGTCTGTTGACATAACCAAAATTGCAGCAGTCTTGAAAATGTCATTTCTGTCAATCAACTGCAAAATTATACATACAACTTAACTTTGGTGAAAAAAAGTTAGCCACACCCTTAGAGACATCCTTTAAGAACTAAACCAAAAGTAAAACAAAAGCTGTCATGACATGATTGGCACCACACTCCAATTTCATCAGTTGTTTCATTTAATTTAGTACTTTGCCCACATGAGAGACTGATCTGACCTAAACTCATTTATATTGGTATAGAAAACTAAATCCTATATTCAAAATCTCTTGCAACAGTGATTTGTAGAGATATGAGTAATAAAGCAAAGCAAATGTAAAGTCCTAAAATACCAAAGGCTTTTATATTCTTTATTACTGACAATTTTAACACCTGTATCTCACCTGTCAATCATGCTAGTAACTGCTCGCAGACTGGTTAATAATTCCTCTTCACACGAAAACATAGCACTGGAAGTTCCTGCCATTCTCTACTACTAAAATGGATTCTGGAAGGGTGTCACACCTCAGTCAGTCATCTTTTTTGACCTTAATCAAGTTGTTTCACCTACCAATTTTGCACGTGTGATATGAGAGATGTGAATTGGAGAATATTATCCCATGACTGACAGTGTAATCAGATCCGCAGTGCTTTCAAATTACAGCGCTACCACTGCCAGCAGGTGAACTACTGTATCATCAAAATCTCAATGAATTATAAATGATCTGGAAAATCTTTAAATAAAAGGGGACAAAGGAAGAGACTGTTTATGACAAAGACAGAAAACATAGCTGGAAAGGCTGTCTTGTTAAAATGCCTCTAAGATATAATCTGACAACTACACTGTAATATTAGGCATAAGCTACATTCAAGGCATCAAATATGCTCTCTGACACTGAAATGGTTATTGTCATGAGGAGAGAAAAGAAAGATTTGTGCAGACGCCAATTTCATGGCTAAAGTCACCATCACCATGTCCTTTAGGAATGAAATAGGAAAAAAAAAAATTTTCTCCCCTCATTTAAAAAATGTGGTTTTATCTTAAAAAAATGCAGACAGCCACAGCAAATGACACATACAAAAAAGGTATTCAGTGCTAAATAATTACTTCTGTACAAAGCCTTTTCAGTAAAAAGGCTATGTCCATAATTAACCACAATTTATTTTTAACACAGCAATGAATGCAAACTTAAATAAATTGCAGAGTACCGTACCGGGTTCCCCCAACGCTAGTGAACTGACTCGTAGCCTACAACGCATACATAAAGCACTTAATAGAAGGCCAAGAGTAGAATAGTCTTGTACAGGAGTAGAGGAGAGCAGAGCCCAAAGAGGATACACCCTGCACAGCAGATGCATGACCCAGGAGATCCATGAGAAACCAAGTATTCTTCTCAGTGCTTTTGGAGTCCTCTCTTGTTCTTCCCCCGATGCATGGTTTCATTGAGGCTACACTGCATCAGTGTGCTCTCACAAGGCATACAACCATATTTCAAGCTTTAGTACATCTTCTGTTTGTTCTAGCTATAACTACTTCACCAACACTACAGTTGCTAAGCAAGCCTTGAGCAGATGATATGATGAGAGGTGGGGAATGCCGTTTGCCCAATCTTTTCTACTCACATTGCATTTTTTTTCAATTAACCGTAAGTTCAACTCACAAATATTGATTATGAAGTCATGCAATGCACACACCTGCATAATGTTAAGTATGTAAGCAAAAAAACGCTATCAAGTATGTGGGACATATGAGATATCAGTTCAAATTCAGACCTGCAAATAGTAAGAGGAGAGGAGGAATACGCTGGCATAACTACCCCTTACTCCATTAAAGTCCCTAAACTACCTCATTATAAAAGTAAACACATGAATTAATTAAGCATAATAGCTTTACATTTTTTAAAACATTTCAGAATTTTTCTCTCTCATATAGAATGCAGTATTATTTTCTCCAGAATATTAATAACACTCCATGCTCCATATACAGAAGTTGTATATAGCCTTAAAACTATGGATTTTAAGTTGCAAAAGGGCTCATGGAACATTTTCTTTTTCTAGGAATTATAGAATAAAGCTAGTTAATACAATAATTTAACTTATATCCATATTAAATGCCTTGGACCTCTCTATTAAGTCAAAATTCTCATAAATATATCTGAATTTAAAGGAAACATAAGAAAAATTGTAATTGGATAACTTCTACTAAGAAGTAACACAATTAGAATTGATAAAATATGCTTGGGTTTTACATTTTTCACCATATTTACCATTTAATTTAAAATTCCTGGTTACTCAATGGAACTGTAACAAGAACAGCTTATACCAATTGATAGTTGAATTATCTATGGGATCTGGGTACCAGGCTGGCTTCCAGAATTGATGTAGACAGGGTGATATTTGGGCATTTCTTGTTTAAAAGCACATTCCTCTGCAATGGGTCAATGGTAATTGAAAGAGTTAAAATTCTATCACCAGAGAATGTAAAGGTTTTCTCTGTAATTGGACTGTGACAACTATAGTATTCATGATTAGGCTTATAAAATGGTATATTATAAACATTTTACCATGCAACAGCTCATTATTAATGGAGTCGATTTTGGGAAAGAAATGTAGAAAAAAAATGAGTGGTAAGAGTCACTTAAATTTCCTAAGAACTAATCTTATTATATTTCATGTCAAAAGAAATTAATTACAACTTCAATCTTATACACCTCCGCTTTATAAAGCATTTGTATATTTTTATTCCATTGTTAATCATTAACATTGCCAATGTTTTCTCTGATGCTTTTTTTTCCCCTCCCAAATGTCAATTTTACCAGGCTAGACCACTTGCAGAAATGTCACTTTAGTTCTCCACACACACACACTCCAGCAAAAAAAACCAAAACAACTCCCATCTGTTTTACAGCTTGGAAGGTTAGACTTCTGATAAGCCTTTCTGTGGTAAGGAAAGGGAAGCTATTTTTGCTTCTCCTTGTAAAGATTAGCAATGGGTGCAGGCAGAAGGTAGATTATACGCTTATACAAAGCAATTTCTACCAGCGAACTCTGTGGCAGTGTTTAATTACACAGCCTGTATAACACAGAGTGTATAACACCTCTCTGGGCTGGCCTACGTACACGGTCAAGTTCCATTAAGGATTATAGTGAAATCTGCAAATGACGAAGCCCAGATCCTCCAAGACACTTCAGGAACCGAGTCTCATTCCTTTGTCCATAGCACTAGCAAACACATACTGTCATATACGGCTAATTTAAGCTTACCCTTTCCCAAAGGGAATTAAGATCTTTAACAGTTTTTACTTAGACCGAAGTCTGTACATCTATACATATATGGCATATATAGCTGCCACAGAATCCTAAAAATGTCTGGTGCTGTTAGCATACTTGTTAAACCGAAAACTTAAATGAGTTTAGTACAACTCAATGTCTACTGTTGACTTGATTCCCCTTTATAGTTATAGGAAAACCTAAAAAACTTAATCCTCCTGATGTAGTGAATGAAGGCTGACTTTTGAAGGTAAGCACTCTTTTCTAATCTAATAGAGATGGGAGCAAGTTAAGCCTGAGGAACAGCAAGAACAAGCACGAAAAAGAGCCAAGCTAGGTATCCTCATCTGCTCTCTTCCACACATACTGTCATAGACCCTAGAAATTTGTAAATTTGCTGAACTTCTTCCATCTACCTGCTCTTTCTCTGAACAGCCTTCTCCTGCCAGTCTGAGCCTCCTTTGCCATCCGTTATTCAGTCCCACCCTACCCACTTATTTCTTGTTCTCTCTTTCTGCCTAACAGCATCCTTCTCCATCATTTCCCTTTCTCATTCTCTTGCTCCTATAAAACTACTTATAAGTTTTAAATCAACTACAAATTCTATATAGAACTATAAAGGTAGACCTGTGTTGAAATTTTAGTAGCTACACCAGAAGAAAACATATTTTATTAGTCTGTTAGACAGTCTGAAAACCATTGTAAACACATCCAGCCTTGAAGTTCAAGATCTGTTCTCAAATGCTACGACGCTCGAAGTTCATAATAAGATTGGCAGAGTAAGAACCCTCAACATAGTTGCTTGCTTTCTCCTTACTCTATCATGTAATGATGTAATTCAGTATTAAAATGCAACAGAACCCCATCGACACTTATGCTTTTCTTTGACAAAAATCCTAAGAAAAAGTTAAAAACAAACCAAAATTGCTGTTGCTAGGTTGTTGAATCCTGGAACTTACTCAGCTGATGAAAGACAGGTTATCAGATCTCCTGCTTTGGCTTCACCAAGCTCAAAACTGTTTCTCCATCACTAAGCCCTTTCCTGAACAATGACCCTGAATACCCTGACTAGATAAAACAACCCAGGAGGCTCAGCTGCCTCACTGCTCTGAGGATCAGCTGTATTCTCCAGCAGCCCTGAGCTCAACTTCATGTTCCAGAAAATGCCGCAAGCTTCTTGGATCAGAAACTGCTTGCAGGAAAGACTAGAACTCCAAACGAAACATGGACAATACTGTAAAAAAACCTTTATCACAGAACTGTGTATCTCTGCAAAATACTGATTTAAGTTACTGTTTTCTGTATTTTCATTGTATTACACTTAAGGTAGCACAAATGAACACATGAAACAATGCAGATGTTATTAATGTTTGAAATATTCACTGCTGTTTTATCATAAGCAGACATCATGATTAACAAATTTTGTCTGAAATAGGAAATACAGCATACCTCCAAAAACAACAGTGTCAGGGATTTCATTGCTATATACTACAATGATCACATGATTCTCTTCATAAAACCAAAAGTTTAATGTCTAAATTTTCTCTCTTGCTATTTGCGGAAAAAATTATTAAGTCACAAGTGCTGTGCAACTTTCAGAAAGTTGCTTTCTTTATTGGACGTTTACATTTGTGTTGTGTTATCAGTTATGCAACTTCTGTTAAAAATATTAATTGGAAAAAGTAGCATGTTAAATAGTAGGCTATTTAAAATTTGTACCAAAACCTTCTGCCTTTTTCTCTCTCTTTAAACTCACCGTCTTTTATGGACTGGCTCATCTAAGTAAGGCAAGAAAACCAATGTCTTTTATCCCTAAGTTTGGCAAAAGGCAGTGCTAGAAAAGGAGCATGATCCTGCAACCACTATTCATTTTTACTATCCCTCTGAAGTGTGTTCACCAGTGCTGCAAAAAACAACTGACTTTTACAGAGCACACTACCACTGAACAACCATAGGTTTGCAATACTGTGAAATTAACTTTCAACAAGATTTTCAAGATACTGAAAGAAATGATAACTCATCATTACATGTTTTCATGAATTATATGAAAAGGACATTTTCTCTGAACGACTATTTGAGCATTAGCTCAAAAGAACACATTGCGTCTTTTTCAGTTGACTAAAAGTGCATGTTAGAGTATTATATACACACTAGACAGCCTAGGCTGTAATTATTTTTTTCTTTCTTTTTAAAGTCAATGTGACCATAAGATACAAGCTACTTTCACTGTGGTTTTGATTCTATAGACTGTTTTTGTCTCCCAAATTTGTCTTTTCTCAATATATATACATATTCTCAGCGTTTATGAAATCGTTGCTCTCTGAATACTGTTATTAGAAATAATGCTGCCAAGAAGAATGCCATTATTCAAGTACTTGCTGTACGAAAAAGAAAGAACAAAATTTATTCCAAAAGGAACAGTTGTTAAAGAAAATATGTTAAAGTGTTTTCTCCTCTGGTAGGCCCAGAAACACTGTGCATGTTCTCGGTATATAGAAGATTATGATTCATTGTACTTACAGCACAAAGGAAAAGCATGTTTCAGCTATACAGTGTACATCAAATGCACATCAGATGCCCCAGATCTTCAGTAGGTACCACTGCTGCTGATACAAATCTGAAGCAGCTCCATCATTTCAGTCCTGATCCCTCTGTTTAGTCCTTCTGTATTGATAAGGTGGTAAAAAGTAGCCATATATCTGACTCCCAATAGTTACTAAGATTTCATTATTTTCCATGAGGAGCAGGAGGGCTGCAAAAGCTACGTGGCACAGAGATGGTATGTCTAGACTCCCACAATGACCTTGCTGGCAAATTCTGGCTGAGAGATGTCACTTCTGAACTGCTTCAGCTTACACCAACGTTTAAAACTGGTCTCAGCTATAACTAGAGCAAGGAAAGTAAAACCTTTCGCTTTGGGATTTCCACCGCTTTGCCAGCACTTGGAGAAGAACTAGCACAAGAGAGCAACCACAGGGTTGACTCTGGGTTACTCCAAACTTGCTGCTCATGTCTCCGACACAAACAGCAACTCCACCTCAACATTATTTTGAGATAAAGCATTAATAAGCAGTGAAATTACAGAATGTTAGAATTAGGCAGAAGATATTAAAATACTAAATGTAACTATTACAACAGTATAAAACTTGTAATAAGATCTAACCAATTCATCCATAAAAGAATTTACAATTTATTTGTCCTGTCTTGTCAAATTTTCAAAAAATGTAACGCGTCCAGAACTGATTGCAATAATTTCATTTGCTCCTGTTGCACTCTACTTGAATTCAAACAAAAAATGGACTCCAGTCAATATGCAAACTAGAAATGATACTAAACATCATCTTTTTTATCTAGTCATGGAACAGCTAAGGAAAACAAAGACTGAAACGTCATGAAACTAAGTGTTGTTTCATACAGTTTATCTGTGCTTAAGTGCTTTGCATTCCAGAGACCTTACCTATAAGATTTTTTTATTATTCAATTCTTGAACTGCCTACGTCAGTTGCCAACATGGAAACAGACTCCTGAGCAGCTGACTCAAAAAATTTATCATTCCCCTTGAACAACAAGTCAAACAGTTGCTGTTATGTGTTTTTTGTTTGTTTGTGGTGCAATACCTGGACATCTATACAGCTTTCTTGCCTGTGCAATATCTCCTTTACTTAGACGAGTACGCTGGCCAATGGCAGGTCGTATACCATTATCATCACGGGAAGGGAGAATGGTATCCAGAAACATGCCCCTAAAAAAAATAAAAATAAAAATAGACCCCAAAAAAACCTATCAGGTTTCTGTCATAAAACTGTCTGAGTTTTATGAATGTATAATAATATTTTTTAAATCTAGAATTTACATTTGGCATAATTAAAAGGGTAAAATGCAGAACTTTAAACACAGGAAACATGTCATAAAAATTTCTCAGGTTGGCAAACTTTATACAAAGTTATCAAAAAAGAATCTTCTTTCAGTACATAATTAACCTATCAGCTGTTATATTTCCGTTAGACAACAGTTGGGAAATCTCTTACTACTATTTAGACTACACAGAAAAAGGCACTGCTGTTACGCTTTTGCTATATTGAAAAAAAATTAATTATAAGATTATATTAAAATAAAGAAATTAATCCCTATCACAAAATCCTTAATCACAAAGCTCCTATTTCTAACAAAGTTTTTATGGGAAGTCTTAAAGTCTGACTTACATGTGTAAGAGCAGGTAAAGTCAGGTACACTTGCCAATCAGTCTTCTGTCAGGTGTTATATCTAACACCACTCTTGCCACTGCTGCTTTTGAAACATAAATGCTTACTTGCCAGCCTCTGCTTGCTTTACAGTAAAAAGGTATCAACTTACCATATGTGATTTTAATAACCTTAACTCTAAATGACTAGACATAAGAGAAGCACACCTGTTCCAAAAGTGCAGTTTTATTCAAAATTTCCCAAATTTTAAATACGATCCAAACTATGTAGCCTCTAATAAATTTTAAAAGAGTAAGGTACAAAACTAAGTTCTATTATCATTTACAGAATTTGAAAATCCCACAAACCCCATAAAATGGAAGTTAACAGATGAATATGTTTCTGTATTCTCTTGTTCTTTAATTTTTTTATACTCTCTTGTACATTTGTAGGGCTTTCATTGAAAAGTAAAGCTGGTATTTTCAGGCATAATGGAGGTCCAAAAATGAATGAACAGTAAAGATCTTTGTTGTTATGAATACTGTTTATAAATACAGAATAGTTCTTAAATTATAATAAATGAACCGTTTTGAGTATTGCAGGTACATATACTGTTCTCTTTACCCAGTCAGATTTCTTGTGGCATCACTGGAAATTTTGCAAAAAAAAAAATCATCTCAGGGTGTTGCCCTAAACAGTTAAATAAACTACTTACAGCATTATTCAGTTTCTAGAAATGAGGCACATAATTATTTCAAAAAAGTGTTTGTATCTATACGTTATAATTTTATTTTCCACAGATTTTTTAGTGCAACCTGAAAGTGATGCTATTCAAATTTTGAAAAATGTCAAAACAATCACCTCTTAAATGCCCTTGCACCTTAGTAAGGGAACAACCTGTAACAGTTTTAATACAGCATGAACAACATCATTGTTTGTCACTAGACCTTTATGATGTTTTGTGATTTCTACTACTTATCCAGGTGACTAAAGTCTAGCAACAAACAGCTGGCAATATGCCACACTGAGCACGACTCATGCTTTCAAGATAAATCAGTGCAAACCAATACATGACCTCAAGGGTTTGCTGGTTGTTTTCAAACTGTATGAAGTAACAACCTCTTGTACCTTAGGGCAGGGCATGCCTACTCATGGCACTATCAGTTTTTGCCAGCTTGGAAAGCGGTGAGATCAGGGCCCACAGATCGTATTATCTTGATGCTGTCATTGCCCTAGGACTCCGGGGGGTTCCAGCTTGTTAAATTACTCTATTTTATATAGGTTCTTATAATTTCTTCCTTAAGGTAATGTATCTGTAACTGGAATAAATGATGTGACTAATATCTACCTCATATGGCTCATTCCCATGCTCTTCCAGACGTGAATTATGTCTATGCTAAATACAATCTGTGGCAGGATTTCTTTTTTTAATAATATCATTAATATTGAGGAGAACAAGCTTAAGAAATTTGCAAAGGGTGGTGAGGTTTCTGGTGGTCTTCAGTTTATTTCAGACTCTCAGACTGTCTAATATTTTTGCCTTAAAATGCATGAATTGGACAAAGGTAAGCACATAACTTTTCAAATTAGTCTTTTTTGTTGGGTTTTTTTTTTTTTTTTTTAGGGTTCTTTTAACTTACATTACTCTGGTATTTTTAGAGAGTACTAGCTGAGCTGGGACTTGATATGAAATACAACAGGAGATTAGGTGAAAGAATCCTCCTTCATTTATTCCCCAGAGCAGGGCTAGCCTATGGGAAGAGATTGTTACACAGCTCCCCACCATCCGTGCAGTTTCAGAAGGAGCCCCACAGGAGTTATTGTGGAGTTGGGAATGGGTCAGCCCGCAACAGACCAGAGCAAAACCAGCAGAACTCTTTATTATATGGTTTTGATGACACTAACGATCTGTACAAACAATAGAGAAGAGATTGCAGCCTCTGTTATAAATGGCTGACTGCAGTCCTTAGCAAAGGCTGTGGCTTGCGTGGTAGATGTTCTAATACCATAACATGTTCTACTTGCATGACCCACAATTACTCAAGACATTATGCTTCAAAGGAGATTTCTCTTTAAGAGAACAGATCATGTTACACATAAAATTCTGACCCATTTCATTCATTTGGTTTCTCTACATTCAAATTTTTGTGGAGACAAAAAGAAAGTATTATGTGAAATGATGTTTCCAGATTATCTTGTCTTAAAATCTAAAGAACTGAAGCAAGATCAAAAGGCTGCTTTGAAACTGAACAGCAATGAAACGTGCTTAACAATATAATTAAATTATTCTGATTTAAAATAAACAAACTGTACTTTGACTGTTTTAAGAATACTATACCGCAAGAGATATTTTAAGTGATTTCAGAATACTTTAAAATACATAGTTCTTAACATTCACAGAGAGGAATAGAATTAAAAGTCAAAAGGTATAACCTGAGACTCCAACCTTGAGAAGGTGTTCCTGGCATAGTGCATAATGCTGTCAAAGTCGTACGGTTCCCCTAGGGAGTTCACCTCTCCAGGCTCCATCTTCAAAAAATTGTATTCCTGACCTACAAATGATTGATAATTAGAGTTTCTTTAATTCCTTTTTTTGTGAAGATAAAAGACAAACAGGAAGAGATAAACCACAAAGATCCTAACCTAATCACTCACTGACATTCATAAATCTTAGTCATTTGGGAGTAACTGCGTGATTTTATTAACCAAGAGGGCAGACATGTCTTCTGAAACACACATTAAATTCCTGTATTTGGCATTTAGAAAGACTGTTCTCATTCACCTAACCCACATAAAAGCCCTACACATTATGATGTGCTTCACGTAAAATCCATAAAATTTGCTGGCTTGGTTCTTAATTCCAGAAAAAAACATTTTGACAGCAAAGACCCCGGAAGAACCCTCCTCATTGTAGACTCATTAGACTGGATACTAAAGAGACTTCGCTTCAGCAAAGGCTACTCACTGAGCCCCCATGTCATACAAACACTACGAAGTCACATTTTTCAAGAGCCAGCTGTTGCAACTTCATGAAAACAGAAGAGGAACAAAAGAATTATACTTAGTTCATAACTCCAGACGAGAAGTTTGTTGTCCTAGTCAGTGTATTAAGAGATGCAAAGCACCTCTTACTCCAAATCATATTCCCATTGGTGTCTTGCAAAAAAACTGCAGCGGCATTAACATCATTAAACAACTTAATTTGCATAATATAACAAAACCCAAATGTCTTGGTGATGAAGAAGCAGTTTCAGCCAGAAACTAGAGAGACAGCTGAAAGGAGAGAGCAGGAGGCTGAGGATGGCACTCCAGCTGATTCTCCCCATTGCAGAAAAAGCATAGGGGAAAACCACTTATGGCACCTACACAAGTCAATGACACAGAGAGAACAGAAGGCAGGCTTGGATGCATGTTCCCCTCCAGGACTTCAGAGACTCATAGGAGGGTGTATCAGCTGCCAGTCACCTTCCAAGTCCTAGTTGAGGTGGTAAAGATTTATTGCACCTCAAATCTATTTTGTTTTAAAACATGTTCTATATGAACAGACAAATCCTCCAAGCTACCACTGAGCAATTTCTGATTTCACCCCTTCGTGAGCAGAGAATTCCCGTAAGTCAGAAATCAGTGTTTTACAAAGACCATGCACATTTATGAACATTGCAAATGAAACCGGTCTACTTCCCTCCCATCTTGCCCACACAACACAAGTGTGGGCACAACAGCTAGACTGATGAAGAGATGATGGTCACAGTTTAAAGTTCTCAGGTTCCTCAGATGCTTTGTCTCAACAACGCCAAGGCCACTGGCTAAAGCTGCAAGCTCCATACGGAACGAGTCATTTAGAAACTGTGGGAACAGTGCCCATCTTTGTCACAGATGCGTGGTCGTCAGCTTGCCTTCCAGGTCTAAACCTCTTGAGCAGCTAAAAAGCTATTGACGTGTTTCTACTTATCATTCAGTAAAAACTATAAAAGAAAAGCTCTCTCTCAAGCACAGAAACATGACTTTTAAAGGGCTTTAAGAGCAATGGCTTCCTTCAAAGTTTTTGAGCATGGTTACTACTTCTCTCCTTCTAGCCAGCACTTCTTAATGGCTTGCTACTTGGCCAGATCTTTAGAAAAGATTGTATTTTAGCTGCAGTATTTAATTTGTGAATCAGATTTGAGATCAGTCTAGCTAAGAGGAATAGCAGGCATAAATACTCATTTCTGCTATTCAGTTAATTCCTGCTATTCAGCATTCAGTTTTAAGAGAGTTGAACAGATGAAGGAAACACCAAAATAAACTTTTTTTTTTTTTTCCAAAAAAAACCCCCACTTATTACAATATCTCACCAGGCTGGATGTTTTCTCTGATGATGGTGACATGGTCATCACGGTCTGGTCGTGTATGTTCATGCCAAAAACCTATCACATGACCCAACTCATGGACAACTATACCAAATTTATCACAGTTCTTGCCAATAGAGATAGCCTGAGGACCATTTCCCCTCCGACCCACGTAAGAACAGCACCTGTAATTAAAATACAAACACCAATAAAAGTTTTCATGTGTATCTCTACAAACCTTATAGGAAATTCAGTTAAAATATGAGAAAATATTTCTATTAAAAAAATCAGCAAAACAATGCACTATGCAATTTCTGCAGTATCACAAACTCCAGTGCAAGAGCAACATATTATTCAGAATACCTAATCAAGGACACATGTCTGTGGGGTTTTTTTATTCAAGGTCTTCTTAAAAATGCTAGCTGTGATCAACAGAATTGTCACTTGTGGCCTTGTATTTCAGAATGAAATCAGGAACTTCTTTCACCCAAAGAAACAATAAAAATAAAGTTGCCTGAAGTACCATTCCACCCACGCGTATCACTGTGTTTTTGACCACGCACACTCAAGAGCCATGCAGAGGGAAGCGGAAAGAGTAAGTAAAGGCAAGGTTTCTTCTGTGACATACATTCTGCTGTGTGTCTTGACAGCACACACCAGCCTCTTGGTCACTGTTCTGGTAAGTTTGCTTTATTTTGATCTGAAAAGTCACCCTACATCATTAGTTCCATCTATAAAGGCTGCAGAAATGATGTCAGTGAAATAGTCCTTTAAAAGATTAATTTACCATGCAGTTGAGAATACAGAAGGGAAATATCCTGAATGAGATGCGGAATCCTGTGATGCCACTGTGCATCTTATCATATTTTGTTTCTCTGGCTATGGGCAAGATGCAAACATCATTTGCAACAACAGTATATTAGGAGGCTGAATGCTCTGCATATGTGCGAACGTTTTTTTTCCCCTCCCACTCCTATTTTCTTGTAACAGGAACCTTATTACCAGAAAGTCGTATTTTCACAAGAAAAAACCCAACACAAACAACCCCCAAAAAACCCACTTTGCAACAGCTCTCGTTTCATTCCTGTTCTGCTGCATTTCCATGATTCCAATGTAAACTTACGGAACAGAGATGCCCTTTTCAGCATTCATACTGTCAGCACTTTGGTGAGATGTTTGCTTTTTGATTAGAAAAAAAAAGTCTGCTGACTATGCTAGCAAAAAGAGAGAGAGTAAAGCAAATCCTACCAAAATGGAAGACAATTTCAAGTCTCATAAGGTGATTCTCTGTCACCTCTGAAGATCTTAAAATATTTCAAGCCAGCATTATATTCCCTAATAAAAGTCTGATTTCCCATCTCTGCTCTGTAAATTCTGCAGTCTGTCAGGTGGTATGGAATTTTGCTGAGCAGATCACCTCTGCTTCCACCGTCTCCCTCCTCTCCTGTTTTTTTAAAAAAACCCGCGTTTTCTGATGCAACATTTAGATAGCAGAAGACATTTGGTCCTTGAGGAGGTCAATGCTAGTGTGGCGAATGATCCTATCCTTCATATGCCTCTGTGGGCAATAAAGGAAGAGCAGCTATGGGAGAAATACCAATAAGCAGATTAAGTTCTACAAACAATATTTGCTTGTTTCTCCTTTTCAGGTTTTGTAGAGACAAAGAGACTTTTCACTTGGCTTGTCAGTCAGTCTTGGTTGGTCATCTTCATTGATTTTTGTTAAGTGTCTAATACAACCAGAATTTTAAAATATGAATATTAGAGAAGTACAGCCATGGCATTTTAGCTCACAATACCTGTTCTTAGTAAGCATATACTGATTTTACACTAATGGTTGAAGTCAAGGATAGAGATACCAAAAAGTTATAGTAATATCTTAAAATTATAAAGGCCATACAAGTTACTTCGTAAAGGAAAATATTACTACAACAGTCTAGGAGGGTTGTATCAAGAATTTTGACACTATCTGGAAAATACTGTTGGAAAAAATTATTGTTCACATTACAATCATTCCTCACAATCTCAACTGCTTCTCAAGTATTCCTGCCCTCAAAATAAGTTAACTTTTTTCTTCCAGCTTTGATAGTTCCAAGGATAGGTATGAATCGCCTTTCTCGGTCAAAGCACTGAATCAGCCTCAGTACTTCCACTAGAGTTGTGCAATATCATGTTTAATTAATTTCTTAAGGTGTCTTCCCTTGATAGCTCTTTTCAAGGCAGGTAAATGAAAACAATGGCAATTTAGACTCTTTGCTATAATTCTGTGCCATTGTCAATGTTGCAGGTTTATGTGCTACCATTCCACACCACAGTAAAAAAAAAATGAATAAATAAAAAACCACAGTGTGTTGCTCTATTTCCCTCACTCTAGATAAACTTTATTAACACAAAATTATTTATGATATAGAAACACTGATATAAATAATAGTAATGGAAAAAACTACCTTAAGATGTGCCCTAAAAATACAGCATAGATAATAAAAAGGAGCAACAGGTAGCAAAAATAAGATTAAAATAAAAATTTAGAGTAGTTACACCATTTTATCTAATGATTCCACAGTGGATTTCACCTTTGTACCTGACACGCTGACATGGTTTTGCTGAACGTATTTTTCAGGCTGCATATTTGCAGAATAAATATTATGGCTACAGGTGAATATGTAAACATAATTAAGGCACTACAGATATTTTCAATATCAGTTTACCCAGGTTTTTATCTTTCACTAGTCACTCACCTATTGGAATATGTTCCTATTGTGCAATAAGGAAATTACCATAGTTCATACACTGTCTTATTCATTAGTGCTCACATGTGGGAGAAAAGCGTTTGGATCCTTAAGAAGGTTTTAGGTTTTTTGTTATTTGTTTGGGCTTTTTTTAAACATCCCACATAGTGTTATTTACTGTCCCATCCAGTTAGAGAGGGAATGCTGGAGTACACACTTTGAACTCTGAGCCAAAGGTAGTAGAATTTGCAGTAACTTTTCATTCTTAGAAAAGTTCATTCATTTAAAAAGCCATTGAAGGTCATCTACCCTCAGTATAGAATTCCCAATTCACTCTCATAGAAAGCTGCATTATGTACACTAACTAAATTTGTCAAACACCGTTCCTAGGTTCCAGACTTCAAATCTTTTAGAAAACATTCTTATCTTTGAACACTTTGAAGTAAGGACTAAGATGTGACATTTGCCTTGGCAGTCTACAGGCAGCCGTGGTAGAAAACACAAGAGTCAATCAGATGAAGTAATCCACATTCTGTGAAAGCAAGTCACCAATTCCATACTAGGTGAACTTAGAGTTAGGGTTTTCTACCTATGTTAAGGTCATGTACATCATTATGGTAATTATGCTATACTGACCTTAACTTGTGCAAAGAGATAAAAGGCACTGACAATGCCTGATGGTTGTTTTAAAAATAGAAAAGCATAAAATGCATGCAGTCTGGGAAAACTGACATTACAGACTACTAAATATGGATTAAATTCCACCAATTCTTGCATAATTCGCATTGGAAAGGACCTCTGGAGGTCTCCAGTTCATCCTTCTGCTCAAAGCAGGATCAAATATGAGGTTAGACCAGGGTTGCTCAGGTCTTTATCCAGTTGGGTTTTGAAAACCTCCAAGGATGGAGACAGCACAGCACCTCTGAACAACCTGCTCCAATGCTGGGTTGTCCACACTGTGAAAAATTTCTTCTTTATATCCAGTCTGATTCTCTCCTTCTTCAGCTTATGCCTGTCACCTTGTACTCTCCCACCAAGCATGAATGCGAAGAGCCTGGCTCCCTCTTCTTTTTCCCCTCCCGTAGGAACTGGGGGCTGCTGCTGGGTCCCCCTAAAGACACCTCTTCTCCTACTGAGCAAACCCTGGACCCTCAGCATCTCCTCACAGGGCAAGTGTTACAGTTCCTGAGCATCTTGGCAGTCCTGTGCTTAAGTCTTTCCAGGTTATTAATATCTTTCTTGTACTGGGAGCCAACAATTGGGTGTAGGGTCTATCTGTAACGTAGCAAGTGGCAAGCAGAGATGGACCTTCCCTTGAGCCACCAGCTGCGCTTCTGTTCACACAGCCCCAGACGCTGTTGGCAGCCTTTGTTGCCAGGACCCATGGCAACACTGCCCAGCTCACTGCCCCATGGCCTTCTCCACAGAGCTGCTCCCCAGCCCAGCAGTCCCCAACTTATCAGTCCCCCCAACTTGTCAGTTCCTCCAGTCTGCCTGGGTCCCTCGGCATGGCAGCTCTGCCATAGAGCCTATCATCTGGTCCCCCCAGCTTGGTATCATCTGCAGTCTTGATGAGAGCATGCACCATCACCTCTTCATGGGTCATTGATAAAGATGTTAAAAAGGACAGGTCCCAGAATAGACCCCTGCGATACTGCACTTTCAGTCACAGTCTGAGTTCAAGCCATTAACGACAACCACCCAAGCCCAACCACACAACCAATTTTAACCTATCTAGTTTTCCATTCGTCTATAATCCTGCAAAATACACCTTGGAAACTCAACATGTTTAAACACACTTGTTTAAATCCTGCAATTTAATTTGTAATTCAAAACCTTTATGATCTGAACACAACACAAGACAGCAGTGCAAAAGATTGATGAGAATAAAGTTAGGATAACCACACATAATTATGAAAAGGCAGAACAAATCCTTTAGTTTAAAACAGTTTAAACACTTCTGCTGAGCCTTCATGTTTACCACTGTGTGGAAATTCTATAGAGAAAAATTGCAATGCAGAACTAAAACACATGAATCCATGTTTATAGCTTAGAGGAAATCAATAGGTTATTAAGACTGTAGGTTCTAGAATACTTAATACAATTTCAATAGTTTTCACATGCTTATGTTATTGACTTCATGTACATTACATGCTTCAACTAGCAAAGACATATTTAGTGGTTTAAAAGTTTCCATAGATTTTTCAATATATTTTTTGTACAGTGACACCTGAAAAAGTGAAAAAATAATAAATAATTATTCCAAATAGTACCCGCTCTGGTGTCTCCAGCTCTGCTTTTATTGATACTATTCACAACAAGGGCAAAAGAATAAAGCAAGAATTTAACTACAGTCTGCCTCTTCCTGTCTTTTTTACTTCATTTAGAACAAAAGAGGATTTAACCTTTTAAGGCTGTGCACTGTAACTTGGAAAAGGTCAGGCAATAGCAGTGCA